AATCTTCAGGACTAAAAAAGCATAACAGTGGCAACTAGACTGTGCAGGAAATCTAGGCTTTAAGTGTTTCCACCAGGAGACTCCAGCCTTCTTTCCAAAAGACTAAATCTGTAATGGATGGATATGTAGCTTGTCAAATGTAACAGTCACATTATACTATATCACACCACATGCATTGCACAGAGATGCAATTAAAGATAGAAATCTTGGGACTGCTGTGATGGCTCTACTGTCTAATGCTCCACCTCCAAGCATGGCATGCCACCTCGGAGCTGGTTTGTGCCCCAGCTGCTCTGCTTTCCATCCAGCTGCCTGCTTATGGCCAGGTAAAACAGAAGAGGATTACCCAAAGCCTTGGGATCCTATACCTGTGTGGGAGACCCAGAAGAGGCTCAAGGCTTCTGGCTCCCGGATTTGGGTTGGCCATGGAGGTCACCTGGAGAGTGAAGCAGCAGATGGAAGATCTTTCTCTCTATAACTCTCGCTTTCTTAAATCTGCATTTCTAACACAAATAAATAAATCTTGAAAAAAGGAAGTCTTTCAATCTACTAATGTTGTCAAAAAAGGATTTATGAAAAATCTTACAATTGAAATAATGGGATCCAGAAAATTCTTGGAATATGGTTTTAAAATACACAAAGAAAAACAGTATATAATATTCTATGTTGAAGCAACTTTATTCTAGCACATTAAGTTTTAAAGATTAAATAAGTTTGTGGGTTTTGTTTCACAGAGCTTTTGTCTTAATGGACAGGGCTGAATCAACAAAGATGGAACTGTCTCAGGATGCTCAGTCCAAGAATTTAATCCCTCACATATTTTAAACCTCCAGTCAGCATCTACCAAGGGATCCCTAATCAAGCTTTTTGTTAGTTAGTTAGTTTGTTTGTTTTTAATTTTTAGAAACTTGCTCCCAGGGGACATGCCCATGGATAGTAGGCTAAGCTTCTAAGTGCCTGCCTGCAGTGCTGGCATCCCATATGGATGCTGGTTTGTGTGCCGGCTGTTTCACTTACTATCATGTAAGGTCCCTGCTTATGGCCTGGGAGATCAGCATGAGATGGTCCAAGCACTTGGGGCCCTGTACCTAAGTGGTTCCAACTCTGTGTGTTTTCTGAAAATTCACAAAGACTATCAATTTTATTTAGCTTATATCTGGCTATCTTACCAGGTTACTTTATAATTCTCATATGTAAAATTCAATCTCTTAAGTTTCCTACATATACAATCATATTTTCTAGGATAAATCATTTGGCAATACATATGGCAACAGTGATAATTCTAACTAGCTTCGTATTGCAAAAAAATTTTTTTAAATATTTATTTATTTGTATTAGAAAAGTAGATTTACAGAGAGAAGAGACAGTAAGATCTTCCATCTGCTGGTTCACTCCCCAAGTGGCTCCAACACCAGAGCTGAGCCAATCAGAAGTCAGGAGCTTCTTCTGGATCTCCCGCACAGGTGCAGGATCCCAAGGCTTTGGGCCATCCTTTACCACTTTTCCAGGTCCTAAGCAGGGAGCTGGATGGGAAGTGGAGCAGCCAGGACAGAAATCAGCACCCATATGAGATCCTGGTACACACAAAGTGAGCGACTAAAGTCGCTAAGCTACCGCACTAGGCATACAAAAAATAACCTAAGTATCACAACAAGAAATGAATCCTTCAAAAGACTGAGATTCACTCTGTTGTTCTGTCCCTGCTCCTTCCCTCAGTCTTCATCTCCCCTGTAACTTCTAAACTGTGCCAACAGTGAGTGTGTGACTGATGCTGAAAGACGTGGTGATTTTCACTTTTAAGGCATCATTAAAAATGCACATATAGGGCCTGGAGCAGTAGCTTAGTGGCGTAAGTCCTTGCTTTGCAAATGCCAGGATCCCATATGGGCACCAGTTCATACCCCAGCGACCCTGCATCCCTTCCAGCTCCCTGCTTGTGGCCTGGGAAAGTATCAGTGGATGGCCCAAAGCCTTGGGACTCTGCACCTGCATAGGAGACCCAGAAAAGACTCCAGGCTCCTGGCATCACATCTGTGCAGTTCTGGCCGTTGTGGCCACTTGCGGAATGAATTATCGGATGGAAGCTCTTCCTCTCTGTCTCTTCTCCTCCTCTGTGTATATCTGAATTCACAATAATAATAATAATAATAATAACGGCACATATATATCCATTCAGACACATGCAAACAGGGCATAAGGCGAGTTGTTAAAACAAATGGCAAGAAATCAAGACTGTCCAGAAAGATTTTTAAGTAGGAAATAAGAGACTTATACGTAACTTCAAATAGAAATAATATGTTCCATACATATGAGATAGTCAATGCATAATACAAGATTTTTTCTCATAAAAATCCAGCTGGGGGGCAGCATTTGGCCTGGCAGCTAGGATACCTTTATCCCATAAAGGAGTGCATGGGTAGGGGTCCTGGCTCTGCTCCTGATTCCATCTTCCTGCCACTGTGCTTTCTTAGAGCTATTGTTCAAGGACAAGTAGTTGAACTTTGCCACACATGGGGGAGGCCTGTATTGGGCTCCTGCCTCCTGCCTTTCAGCTGCCCAACCAAGTCACTGTAAACATTTGGTGAATGAACCAACAAAGGAGAGCTCTTTGCTTGTCTCTCTGCCTCTTTTTCTCTGCTGTGAAACAAATAAATATTTCAGAAATAGAGCTATATGTGAGGTTGTATATGCACTACAATAATGCTATGATCATATACAAGTGTAAAAAGCCTTTATAGAATTGGCTAGATCTAATTCTCACGTGTATTTTAGTCTTAAAGGGTGATAATTCACTGATAAGTGAATTTTTTCCAATATCACTGATGTTTCTTAAAAAAAAACACAAAAGTTGGGGCTAGCACAATGGTTCATTGATTTAGTCCTCCTCTTCCATGCACAAGATCCCATGGGTGCCAGTTCCTGTCCTAGCTGCTCCACTTCCCATCCAGCTCCCTGCTTGTAGCCTGGGAAAGCAGTTGAGGACGACCCAAAACCTTGGGACCCTGCACCCACGTGACAGATCCAGAAGAAGCTCCTGGCTCCTAGATTTGGACTGGCTTAGTTCTGCCCATGGCAACCACATGGGGAGTGAACCAGTGCTCAGAAGCCTGTGTCCAGGCAGGCTCCAAGCAGGCCTCAACACCTGTCAGAAGCGTGCAGAGGCTGGCCGGCCGGCTGACAGGGATGCATGAGCTGCACTGGGGCAAGCGCGTGAGCTGTTCTGGCTGGCTCCTGCCAGCTGTGCCTCTAATAAAGGTTTCCCCCACTTGTGTGTACACACACACACACACACACACACATACACACACAATGTTTCTCTCATTCTCTCTTTTTATCTGTAAATCTGCTTTTCCTATAAAATAAATCTTTTTTAAAGATCACACATAGGACAATCATTATAGTCTCTAAGATGCAGCACTATCAAAAAGAGAAATAAAAACAAAAAGGATTAACAATGACCTTTTCCGGTATTGTTGGGGAATAGTGTTAATTCCACTCAATACAATTCCTATCAGAAAAAAAAATTTCTTAAAGATCAAACTTGATAAAACCAAATACCACAGAATTTTAGTTATAATAATTAAATATTAAAGTTAATACAGTTGCTCCTTTGTTTAAAAAAATTACACTCTACACTTTTTAACCAGGTCAACATTTTTCATGTTTAAATTAAAACAATGCATAATAGCAAGATGCAGCTGTTACACAAACCAGGTAGTTATTGGTTCATTCATACTATAAAAATATTACTGACATTTCATCTGGTCAACCATCTTAAAGGTTAATTTTTGTTCTGCTGTCCAATTTTACTCCAGGCAAAGTGTTCTGGGAAGATCCTATTTGCCTATTCTGAACAAACCACAAACTGTTTCATTGCTCACTCTTACTGTTAAGAACATATTGACTTGATGCCTGCTTTGCTATTTAATTCATTTATGCTGAGAATCAGCCATGAAGACAGAATTTTAAATGTGACATTTGCAGACTCTTAGGTCATTTAAGCTCCAACAACACTAGGGAATTCCTGACATATAAACTGGACCTGATTATCAAGCAAGATGAGCTTCCTAAAGAAGCAAACTTCTGACTGTTTTTTGGTAATTTCTCACAAAATTTTAGTACTAAATTTAATGTCGATAAAAAGCTCTAGATACTAAACATTTTAAAGTTTCTATTTCTTGTAATAAGCTCAAACTAGAACTTCATCAAATAGATCTATGTCAGCTAAATACATTTTTTATTGAAAGGGACAAATGGAAAGACTGACAATAAAAATTAACATTAATAACAACTCTAAGAAATTCTGACACAGAAAGGCTTTTAACATTTCCAATCATCTGGAAGGTTCTTCTAGGACTAAAAGCTGTAACTCCAGTCAACAGATCATTTAAAATTATTAAATTCTGGCCCAGCAGGGCAGAGGTTCTATGTTGTCAATATTACAGTACAAAGTCTAAGCTTAAATACTTATAACTCTGCCTTTTCTAAGATTACAGTTATCCAGAAGGAATGACAGAGTCATTATAATTGAAAATGAACAAATTGCCCACATGACATTTAGAATTATTCTTTACTAGGGTTGATAATAGGGTGAGGTGGAGAAAGCAGGGTAAGACTGTTTTTACATTTTAGCTACTCCAAAAAATTATACCAAGTAATACTTTTTCAGCTCGTTTTCCTTGTCACCAACAAGTACTATACACAATGGTTCAAATGAAAGTTTTCTGAAATTAAGTATTGTTAAGTAATACACAAAAGATAATTCTGATTTTACCCTGTATTTTATATAAGTAAGAATGTTATTGTTGCACAGCAAGTAGCCTTTTACCACTGTGCTGTAAAAGAGACTGAACAGTAATAGGTGTAATCTAAATAGGAACAGAGGGCCTAGAATGCCTTTCAGCTACAGCACATTGATTCTGAAAAAACATAACAAAAGCAATTACTTTTCAAAGATTAAAACTTTTGTTTCTTTCAAAAGCATAAAATGGAAAGCAAACCTGGTGTATTATCTGAGCTACAGGAAGTTGTTCAGCGTATTTCAAAGGTTCCATTAGTTCCTCATCCATTTGGTCTTCCTTATAGCTGATAAAAAAAAAAATAAATAAAAATCACAAAGTTAAGAAAATGCTATTTTTAAACATGGCAAATATTTAAATACGAAAAATGTGAAATAAATTTAAAATATAAACAATGTAATATGAACATTCTCACATTCTTTCACTCTGATTTAAAAATATTTAAGATCTCTCTGTTCCCCTAGGGTGTTTTTTAATCACAACATGTAAAGGTTTTCACAGGTGGCTCTAGCCAGTGACAAGTCTCCTCTAAGCAACATCTTCCTTATGTCCTGGCCTATTGCTGGCCATGTCCAATTACTGGCCTGCCCTAAGCAGGTCATATACCAACTCAAGACGCTCTTACTTTCCCCATGCTGTTACATTTGCTTGGTCCAAACACTAACTCTCTTGTTTACTTAAAAAAAAAAAAAACCCTGAATTTACTAATTTACTTAGAACTTCCCATCCACTGATTCACTCCCAAAATGCTGCAAAGGCCAAGGCTAGAACAAGCTAAAGCTGGTGCTGGCACTGGCAGGCAGGATCCCCATCTGGGCTCACGCGTGGCTGGTAGGGCCATGGCTGCTGCAGTACTACCTGTTGCATCGTAGAGTGTACATCAGCAGGAAGCTGGGATCAGGAGCAGCGCCACAACTCAAATCCAAATTCTCTGATTGACTTTAGAAACACTCAACTCAGCTTCTTTTTTTTATTATTATTTTTTTAATTTTTTATTATATTATTGACTATTTTTACATAGTTAGGGTAAAAAAGGTTCAAGGGCTATAGGAAGGGGGTAACTCTATTATTTACATATTGTTTCCTTCATGTATCTGAGGCAAAGAAGGATATTGAGGGAGAAGCCCCACCCAGTCTCCCACCCACCCCAGGTCCCAGATGTGGGGCATGCTCTAAGATACTTGCTCAAGTTGTTTGATAGTTCACCAGTTCTGAATTGCTGCCAATCTTGCCAGCCCAGCACAATGAGGTCCTTGAAGAATCCACTGATTGACATAGTCCATCATAGAGTCTCTGTTTGCCCTGTATTTTGCTGGCAACATATAGCTGAGGTGGTTGGTTGACCTGTTCCATCTTCTGTCTTTTCTTGGTTAGCATTCTGAGTCCAGAAGCTCGATTGGGCGGCTCTCCAAAGAAACTTTGTCTGAGATGTTCTCAGATCAGATTCTTGTATGTACTAGCAAGCACAGGGCCCAGCATAGTCCATCGCCCCAATCAGCTGGTGGTTGCAACTGCTGGGTTGGTTCTGTTTTCAGCCCCGACTTCCACTGGAAACCAATGGGTGTTGCACTCCAGCCTGGTTCTGCCCAGCACATACTGGGCCCTCGCATAAACCACTGGGAGATTCAGCCTAGGTGGAACAACCCACAAAAAACCCCACCAGACCCGCCCCCTAACCTGGTTTGCCAGTGTGCGTAGCAGACTAGTTCAGTCTGTCCCACATCCCATTTGGCTCTCATACATTTTGATGGGTATTGAAGCTTAGTTCCATCTAACCATCTCAACTATCCAGCCCTCATGAATGATGTTGGGCGTCTCCGTCTAGCCACCCAAGCCCCTGTCCTAGTTTTTGTGCCCTCCTGTGGGAGTGGTAACCCAAGAGGGAAGAGCCCACTATTTCCCTCCCAGGTTGGTCTCTCTCACTTCAGGATTATGCACTTTCCAGGTAGTTCTGTGGTTTAACTTGACAGAACTAGCCCCCAGTGCCAGCCTCTGCCAGCTGATGCTGTGGCTAAGCCTAAACAACCCTCACCCACTCTAATTCTAGATTGCACCAGTAGGAATAATCAGCCCAGCCTGGCTTTTCCCTGCTCTGGTCCACATGAGGCGCACAGGTGTTGTAGCCCTGCTTAGTCTGGTCTGCCCCCATCCCAGCTCATGCTCTCCAGTGGGAGTAGCTGTCCAGCAAAGGAATCATCCTTTATTCCCCTGCCAGCTCTGCCCCCTCCCTTCCTGGTTCTCCTGTGTGCTGGTTGGGCACTGCAGTCACATCCGGTACAGGCAACCTCACCTTGGCATTCCGTATTGTGCACTGGTTTTTGTTGCAACTGAACCTGGCTCAACCCACACTCTGTTCTGGTGCTCGGATTTGCTAGTGAATGACGTGAACTGATTCAGCCTGGTCTGCCCCCGACCCACACCAAATGTATGCCAGTGTGAAACTTTCCAGGGCCTATTCTGGTCTGTTCCTATCAAGCAAGAAGCATGATAGGAATCAACTCAGCTTCTTAACCACTGTACAGGAAGTCATCGGATTTGGGGAAGGGATGCTGGGGGGTAAATATATTGTTTCTTCCCATCTAGGTATATTGTTTTCACATTCTCAAACATAAAAACCATGTCATATGCCTCACTGTAAACACAATGTTTATCAAAAAGACTCAATAAATGTTTGTTGAGTGAATACATGAATATATGAATAAAATAAAATAAAAACAATTTAGAGGCTATTTTACATGGAATACACTTTAAGATCTACACTGAACAGGTGATGTACAGATGACACAATGCATACCTAATTCGATAGTAAAGTGCAGAAGCAAGAATAGAAAAATCTTTAAAAATTTGATATTTTGATAACTATTGTTATATAAAAACACATTAAAATTTAATAAAATATTTTCAAATTATTAGCTTTTTCTGAAATAGTAACTTAATTATAACTTTACATGTTGTTTCTGTTCATTTTCCACTGTCACTCTATTTCAAAACTCTGACCTTCAAATAATGGAAATCCTCTATATGTTTCACTCTGATCCTTCTTATCTCTGTTATTTCAGTGTCATTTTCTTGAATCTTCCTCATTTCTATTGTTTATATCTCTTACTGAATTTTTGGTAATATCTATCTCCTCTTGGACACCCTGTAATTTAGTTGTTGTTTCCAAATGATTTTTGATTTTTCTGTCAATTTCTTTCCCTGAGTCAGTCAGCTCTCATCCATCTTCCTGTTGTCTGCCCACTTAAACGGTACATTTTTTCATGTCTGACTCCTGGTGTCCTTTTTACAACGCAACTGTTTATATCATAGAGGTCATTTGTGTTCAAGTGTTGCATTTCAGTTGCCCTCTCTTCTATTTTTCTTTCCTTCTTTGTTTTCACAGTGCACGTTTGTGAATGCATATGTACAGTTTGCTGACAGCCTCGTTCTAGTCTCTGTCTCATAGCAGTTTTCTACAGGTGTCGGCTTCTGTTTCTGTTGAGGAATGCTTGTACTGGCTTTTTCAGAATTAGCTGTAGTAGATTATCTTGTGAATAGAGAGAAGGGAGGTATTTTAGCTTCTTAGGTTCCTCAGTTTAAGAGCACCCCCTTCTGTGGCTAGAATAAAATGTAGCTTTGACAGAACTTTTACCTTGGGTTGCCTTCTTTCCTTTCATCCCCAATACTGGAAGGGATTCCCAGTCCCACCCTGACCCATACAAGATACCTTCCATTATGCCAGAGAGTGTATTTGTGCGTTTGTTTTTAAGATCACTATCTATGGTCATCCTTACTTCCCTAAACCCAATGCCAAACATGACCTATAAGGAAATACACACACACAAGGGATTTTCAAAAAGTTTGTAAAAATGTATGCATATTATGAAAAAATATGTATAAGTTCAAATATTTTATAGCCAAATATACTTATCTTTTAATCCTATTTTCCCAAAAAATTTAAAAATTTTCAAATGTTTCAATCTTCTCTAGGACACTTCATTAAGACTCTTCATTAAGACAGTCTATTTAAACAATACAGGAATAATCTCTGCATAAGAAAGCTGTAATATTTCTTATTTACCTCACTATTTTTAAAAGTGTATGTAAAACATAATAATTAGAATTTTTATTCAATTAATGAATTTTAGATCCAATATAATATGCTTTTAAAATTCATGGCATAAATAAACCCTGTTGGCAAGTGATAAAGCCCCAAACTCTACACGATCAATCCCCCAACGCCTTTATTTCCTTTATCTTCATAGATTCTCAGCGTTCTAAAAATCTTTCTCCCCTGCACTATATAATCACTATCATTATAACACTGTAAAATTATTTGCTGTGCCCATACTGAGGTCATCTATGACTCAGAAGAAGTAAAGTTTTATTTTATAATGCTATATTGATACCAGATTATTGGTCTAAAAAATGGCATAACTTATTGCAGGGAAAAGGCCAAAGCTTTCCAAACACTGAACATAAATTCAACAAAGATCAGGAAAGTAGACATTGTGCTATGCTAGATACAAACTTGAAATTAAAAACATTGACAGAATTTTAAGACATATCAACTAAAATATTACAAAATTATTAGGAAGAAAATGCCTAAATATACCAAAAGCAGGAATTCAGTTCAACAGTTCATAGAGACTTAAACATGACAGATCAAAAGAGTTTCTTGAAGTATGTCATAGAAACAACAAATTACTATCTTTTTATTTTTTAATTTAATTTTTATTTTTGATGGTGTTTACATAATTGATCAGGGTGACCACTGTTTCCATCTGCCCCCCTTTTCCTCCTGTGTCTGGGAGAAGATGGGAATATACAAGAGAAGCTGCACTCAGCCTCCCTGCCACCCCAGTACCTGTGATTGGGGACTGGCCACCCAATATCCTTCCAGGGTCCCTGATGTGGGGCCTGCTCCAAAATTTCCACTTGAGTGGTTGTGATAGTGAAATGCTGTCGATCTCGCCAATCCAAGGATGAGGAAATTTTTCCAAGGTCAATCTGCTGACACCGTCCACTCCAGAGTCTCCATTTAACCAGATATTTGTTATCAATGCTTGGCTGATAACAATGCTTGAGCAAATTTGTTCTGCTCTCCTTTCTCTACTATGCAACCAGATGTTCTCTGCAAGCCCCAATGGACTGCCATGTTCTCCATGTGCATCTGGGCATGCTGTTCACTGCTGCATCCTAGCCCCTGAGGAGGCCCAGTTCTGACATGTGCACTCCACGGTCAGATCACAGGTTCTAAGATTCTCCCCATGCCTGGAGTTCTGAGTCCTGTAGTTCAGTTGGCAG